AAGCTGTTTTACTGCATAATGGCAATGTTTTGCCATCAATTCCAGTTGGTCATGCAGTCCATATGAAGGAAACCTTTGACAACATGAAACAACTTTTGAGGTGCATAAACTATGACCAACATCAGTGGCAGCTTTGTGGCGATTTGAAGGTTGTTGCTCTCTTGCTTGGTCTGCAGACTGGATACACAAAGTACTGCTGTTTTCTCTGCGAATGGGATAGTCGTGCAAGAGATTCCCACTACATCAAGAAAGATTGGCCACTCCAACAGTCATCGGAGCCTGGGAGGAAAAGTGTTCAGCATCCACCACTTGTTGAATCAAGGAAGATTTTGTTACCACCCTTACACATCAAGCTGGGTCTGATGAAGAACTTTGTCAAGGCCATTGACAAAACACAAGCAGCTTTCAAGTATCTCCGTGGAAAATTTCCAAGGTTAAGTGAAGCTAAGATAAAGGAAGGTGTCTTTGTTGGTCCTCAGATTCGTGAACTTCTTCCAGATGATGCATTTGACCATGCACTGCATGGCAAGGAAAAGACGGCATGGAAAGCCTTCCAGTTAGTGGCAATAAATTCTCAGAAACAACAAGGCAGACAACTACAGGTTGTTGGTGGAAACCCTCCTCAAGGCATACAAAAGCCTTGGTTGCAACATGTCACTAAAGATACATTTTTTGCACTCATCTAGATTTTTTTCCACCGAACTGCGGAGCAGTGAGCGACAAGCACGGCGAGCGATTTCACCAGGACATTGCAACAATGGAGAAACACTATCAGGGCAAATGGAGCCCATCAATGCTTGCAGACTATTGCTGGACAGTGACAAGAGATGCTCCATTTAATGAATACAAGAGACAAGCCAAGAAGCGCAGAGTAGATGCTGAATAGGACTAAACTATGTACAGACTAGTTTTTTGCCTTTTGTTTCATAATAAATTTTATTTATATAACCCTTTTGCTGATTTTTAAAGTGTTACATAAACAGGACAGGTGAAATATTATCATGTAAAACAACCATAAACACATGAAAAGACCTAGGTTTACAATTTATGATTAAAACTCTACTATCTACACAATATACATAGACATAAAACGTAAAAACTTAAATATCTTAGAAACAGTAGCCAATCAGTTGTTTTAATTGTCATATTTGAATTCAGCACATCAAAATACATAATAAATAGCACATTTTATCTCTGAAGCAGACGACTTCTCAAAAATTGTAGACCAGTGTAATTGGCCTGTATTTGGCTAGAGGCCCAAGCCTGGAGAAAAATCATATCTGTATTTTTAATTCCTGCTCGCTTGTCATGGGATTGTGCAGAAAAGGCCACAAATCAGGAAAGCAGTAATTGCTTATGGGAAATAACTTTTTTGGGAGTTTGGTGGGGGGTCCTTACTCTCCATACCTCTGGGATTCAGCAGCGCATGTGAATTTCTTTTATACATTTTACAATCTAAAATTTTGATTGTGTTAGCACATGACCAGTGCAGTTAATGGGGAAACTTCAGCTCTTTTAGAATAGTTTTGAACTTTGGAAGAATTTCTACCACCAATAGTTACAGGAAAGGGGTAAGAAGCTGGAACTTTATAAGCTGCAGTAAAATGTGAAATCCTGAACCAACCCATCTTCATTAAAAATAAAAATTGTCAATTGTTATAATTCAGGAACTTTCTGCAAAAATATAAAGTAAGTAGTTCCTGCAGAAAACAATTATGTGCTAACACAAGCTAAAATGATCTTGGAGCCAGTGGGTCACACTCTCAGCTGGTGTAAATCAGTGTAGCTCTATTTGGCCTTAACCTGTTAAACTACATTGCTGTAATGCAATTCATATTGTTATAGTGCTAAGTGTTACTTTTCTGCTAGCTATAGGCTAGGGAAACTCAGTTGCCTTCGACTCTGGGGAGAAATCCTTCCTCTGAGGGAAAGAAACAATTATTTTCTTATTCATCTTTGACTATAATATGACTTGCATCTTTTTGGAGACCCACAATTATGTAAAATAAAGTACAAAATACAGCAAGTAAGGGATTCTCTCAACTGTATAGAACATTTCAGGTCTTAGACTATACATTACCTCTTTCCAAAAATAGACATTGTAAAATAGGTTGCGTTCACAATTTTTTTTCATGGCAATTGAAACCAAAGTACCAGCATTTGACCCAAATGATTAATATCTATATGGGACTAGGAAGGTTATCCTAAGTGTCTGAGATTTGTATTTGTCTTCCTTTGGGCATGTCTACATAGCAGTTGAACACCCGTAGCTGTCCTGGGTCAGCTGACTGAGGCTCAGAGCTTGGGCTGTAAAATTGTGGTGTAGATATGCAGGCTGAAGGGGGAGCCCAAACTCTGAGACCCAGTGAGGAGGGAGGGCCCCAGAGTCCAGGCTCCAGCCTGAGCCTGAATGTTTACACTGCAATTTTACAGCTCACAGCTAAAACCCATAAGCCTGAGTCAACTGACCCAGGCCAGCTGCAGGTGTTTAATTGCTATGTAGACATACCCTTAAGGAGCTACAATAATTTTTAATTTAAGTTTGAGGTTTGGGTGTAGTGTCCTGAATCACAAATAAAAATGTGTGTTGGCACTAGAAGCTTGATAATGGGTATAACATATCTTAAGACTTCATAGAACTTTATTTCTGAAACATCTGCACATAACTTTATAGAGTCTCCATGCAAAAGGGTCTGGAATACCATTGAATCCATTTAAGAATATGCAGAGATTTATGAGAGATCATGAACATGACTGAGTCAAGACAATGTACTCATCATGGCAGTGCATAAAATCTTTATTTAGAACAATAAAGTATATGTATATAATGTAATTCCATTTTCAAACCAGTATAAAAAAGGATCAGGGCATACATCTATTTTTAAGAGGACATATATATACATACACATCCCATTTTATAAACTTTGTTGCTTAACCTTTCAGTCAGAATGTAACTATACAAGTTTTTGTCATTTACATCACAATTTACAAACTCTCTCACATGATGCAACCACCAATGTTTGTGCCTTTGTCTCTAAAGAGTCTGAAATCTCCACATCCCTTCCATTTGCTAATATAATAGCAACATGCCACTCTTACTGTACATTTATTTTTAATACATAGTTGAATCAACTTCTATCTGGAGAAAATTTTTGGATAATTCTTAAATGCAAATCTCATTGAAAACAGCTATAGTAGTACACTGTTAACTTTTCAATTTAACAGTTGTATTGTGTGTGCTGAGCAGTTTCACCATATTACAAAGGGATAGCAACAGAAAATACACAGCTTGTGAAGATCAGAGTCGAGAAAATGTACAAGTTTAAGATTTTATACGTCCCATGATACAGCACATTGGTTTTTAAAAGCATTCTTATAAAATGACTTCATGACTAAATAAGTACCATTAGTTTATTCAAGTAAAACACACTTCTAAAAGAGCACATTGAATTTTGCAGTATACCATTAGCTGCTTTTTATTCTCACAAAGCTGCTATTAATAGCATGCAAAGTTCAGCTACTCCCAAGGAAACTTCCAAATGTTTCTTCCTTACAAAATCCACTGAGATCGGAGAACAATTTAGGTTGACCTTAATATAACAAAACACTCCATTTTAACAAATAGACACTCATTTTTTCTAATCACAATAATGCATGGTCTGACCCTTCCCAAAAAATGAAGGATTTTAAAATTGATTTGTATTCGGGAATGCACAACTACTTACAAGATAGGAAAAAGTAATTAAGGGCTTAATTCTGCCACCATTACTCCCATTGAGTAGTAACTTACTCCAGCAGTGGTCCCAGTGATATCAACTGCTTTTTGTAAATTGGCAGACACTATGCATGGAGTAAATTCTACACAACAGGTAGCAGAATCAGGCCCTTTATAAAAATTTACTTATATCTGTTTGGCATTTGGAAATCTAATAAATCTACCATATTTAGAAATATTTAAATATATTCAGGTTTGTGATACTCCTGTAAGAAGGCCCAAACACTCAGTTTAAACCTGTTAAGTCGGATAAAAAAGAAGGAAAAGCCATAAGCAGTCAAATTGATTATCCAGCTCACACACTTTGTGCTAATGGACATTATTTACATTCCAAATGAGAACAATTATGATTGTGTAAACTTTGTGTTGTCAGAAGGATTGTACATGGGAGTTGTTTCAGTGAGATAAATGAATGTCATTCAGCCTTAAATTTAACTTGTTCAAAGACGAATGTCTGTGGCATTGTTATAAACCCCTAAGCTTTGAGATTGTTACTGTTTAGTAGCATTGCATTTGGGGGCAAATTTTATATCAATTTATAAATGCATTATTCATTGTTATCAAGGGTAAAATATGCACTAAACAAACAAAAAAACAACCCTGTAATTTGAACATCAAAGCCTAATTTGAGACACATCAAGATTAATTACTGCAAATGCTTAGTGTTTTATTACTGTTAATTTTCTCAAATATTCAGTTTGGCAAAATAGCACCTTTTATAAACAATTAAGGTAGTTTAATAATATCGGGTTTTGTTCAATTACAGAATCTAAGAAAACGGTTATAAAATTCCAAATGCATTCATTTTTTCTTGAGAATATACTGTAGATTGCAGCAAATGGGAAATGTTTTTTGTCTAACATTTTTGCCAAGTGTTCAGTGATAGTTGTTGCCATTTATTATGGGCAGATTTCCTCTTTGTCAGAGCATGTATTCAAGCAATCTCAACACAACTAGTAAGGTGCAAGTAGAGCCCTGCATGGGGTTATTTTTTTTAATCCTGCTTCTGCAATACCCACTCTCACCTGCTCCTGCATTGTTTCTTGTATTTTTTTTATCCCACTCCCACCTGCAAAAACCTTAGATTCTGCAAATCCCGCGTGAGAGAGATATCCCCCCCATCCTATTAAAAACAAAAAAACCAGTCGGTTAACACACACACACACACACACACACACACACACACACACACACACCCACCCCAGATAAAATTTTTACCACTAAAAGAACAAACAAATCTTGCTTAAACCTTGTAAAAATACTTTTAACTCCTGTTATAATAGACCTCAAATCTTTCTATCCCTTATTTAAATTTAAGCATTAAAACCTTTATTTAAAATAAAAAGAAACTTGCTTTACATTGCTGAAATTCTATTTATGACAAACTGATGAGAGATTTAGTGTTTTCCCGCAAATTACCAGTTTTTTTTTTTTTTTTTTGCCCACCCAATCCTGCCAGCAACAAAGTACATTTTACCCACTCCCACTATTATGGCAGCAGGATCCTAGTCCCTCTGCAGGGCTCTAGGTGCAAGTTCGCAAACAAACATTAAGTCATGCTGAGATTCTAAAAGTGGAAAGTAGGCTTGAAATACTAGTGTAAGAAATACAGACACATACATTATTGTGTCAGACTGAGCTGCTACAGATGGAGAATTCTACTGCTTGGTTTTCTGTAGTGCTAAAAGTTGCTAAGGGTCTGATTTTTAGAGGTGCTGAGCTTCTCCCATTTATTTCAATTGAAGTGGTCGGTGCTCCAGCACCTTATGAAAGTCAGGATATTAGGGTCCAATTCTGACTTACACAAAAGCCTCTTGACCTGCTGTAGGGACAGATCCTCAATTGGTGTAGATTATCATAGCTCCATTGACTTTAATGGAGCTATGACAGTTTACACCAGCTGAGTATCACTGCTAGAACATTGAAAACTAGACCCTAAAGGGCAAATTTTGACCCCATTGAAATCAATAGGAGTTTGCCATTGACTTGCCAAGTTTCCACCCAAATTGTCTATACATATCTGTAATCTCCATCATTGATCATAATACTTTTTGTACATTGTGGCACTCAGATGTCTTACTAATTAACTGACCATATATATAGTAAATTCCTTTGACATATAGTTCATAGCAGATTAAGGAAATAACTAAAGCATCCATGACACTTTTATTTAAACTTTTAGAAGAACTCTTTCTAAAATATAGTCAGCTTTATGAAGACATTAAAACAAAATATTTTGGACATATTTTAAATTAACTGTTACTGGGTTAATGGTCAGCTGTTAGGCAGTTTGTCATTTGGGGTGAGACATTCCTCCTTTCTGCAGCAGACCACATTAAAATAGATAAATAAGTAGTATCCATTTTCTGGAAAGAGCATGTACAAATGGGATGCATAAAACGCACGTTGCAAGTTCCAGTATAGTATTTTTAGTGCCTCCTTAAAAATGCATGTCTGACAAAGTCTTAATTTATTATCAGTCTTGTTTCTGTAGTTCATGTATTTAATAACAGCAGTAGACACTGAGGACAACTGGAAATAAAGCTTTCATACCTTGACTAGAATTCATCTTTAAAAAAAAAAAAGGGGAGAATGCCAGATTAAAAAATAAAACCTTATTAGTCATTTAAAACACAATGCAAATAGCTTTTACTGTATGTCAGCAGTAATTAATAAATTCATTCTCAGTATCTTCCACATTTCCTACATCTTATATAAGCTAAGGAATCAGTGGCATGCATCATCAATATTTAGAAAAGGTTTCATGAGTATACTGTTATTCCAGATGTTGAATGCAATTCAAACTTTGTTTTCCCTCCCCATTCTATGGCTGGAATTTTAATTGGAGTCTTCACACATACAACAGTTTCTCCTAATGCTGTCAAAGCTCCATCCTGCTACTGTCACTTCTGCTTTACTTCTTTTTGATCCATTCTTTGCTTCTTCTAAATGGAGACCACCAGCCAAGCCAAGTTCTGTGGAGGATTTTTGAGGTGGACATACATCCACCTGGCACAAGATAGAGACCACATCTCATTTTACATATGACCTTTACTAGATATGAAACCAGTTCCTTAGAAGTGAAAGGCTAGCACACTGGTCCGGTGCACCACCTGACTTGCAAGTTTTATACAACAATACTGCAGAGTATGTTTCTGTATCCATTTCTGCATTTTTTTTATTTTTTTTTTTTTCAATTCAGAGAACTCCGTTTGTAGGCATCAGGGTAAGCAAGAGGACACAGGATGTAAATCAAGAATACAAACTTCCCTATGACTTTCAAAGATTACATGTTTCTGGAGGCATTTGAAAGAGGTCTTTTTTGTTCAGGCCACGTACTTCCTTTGCCAGAATCAGCTTAAGGACTATACAGTTAAATGACTCCCAATTCCACACAAGGTAGGTATTTGAATAAAATACAGTCCTGCTCAGAGCACACTTCTTGACGCTGTTCAATTCAGTGCTGGTTTCACAGTAACAAACACACCCTTCGTTCTCATCTCTTTGAATCAGTATGGATCCTGGGCAGCAATCAATGCAGACTCAGTCTGTCACTCCAGAAGGAATATGAATATGCTTAAAGTTGCTTCATTTATGAAGCAAACATGGAACTGTTGGCTGCCTGCGGGGAAAAAAAGGAAATTGTATTTTTGCTGGTTTCTCACACTCATTACTCAGTAGCAGAAGCCTAGCAGAGAAATATAATACTTTCTTTATAGAAATAACTAATGAAATAACTTGCATGTACATTCTTTCATCCCAAAGCACATTGCCAAACATATTTTTAAAGGGGCCCAATTGCAGTTTCACGTACAATTCCTCTAGCTTCCCAATCCTGGGCACAGAATACATTTAGACTCTGTTCCTGCATACACACACACACGAGTAGTCCTGTTGAATTTAATAGGACTGCTCATATGTGTATTTGCAGGATTGTTGTACAATTGCAGTACAGAGAAGCCTTAACAAAAGAACTTTTAAAGCAACAACAAAAAAGTTAAGATGATACCCAGAAAAGCGAGCTGGTCTACTAGAGAGAATTCATTGGTTATGAAAAGCATGTAGTCAAAGCAAAATATTTTGGCATTTTCTTTTGTTTGAAAATAAAATCCATGTGTTTTTTTCTCCCACACAACTAGGTGGCCAAGTTAATACCATACTAATGCATCATGAATGAAGGTCCCGGATAAATATAGAGTTTGACAATGATGCAGAACAGTCCAATAGCATAGCGGTATAGTGTTTCATATCTGGAATCACATCAGTATATTCTGTAAATATTCTTCCCCTGTGGAAAGTTTTCCATACTTTCTGTTATCTCCCCCATTCACCTCTTGCATTCAGGATAATATCTTTATATTATAAACTATTTTGAGACAGCCTGTCTCTTCATGATAAGCACTGCAGCTGAAGAGGGCCTTGGGCAGTGGGGGTTGGGAATTCTCAATGAAGGGCCTCTGACTCTTCAATTGGCTGTCACACCAAAGGAGGAAGCAAGACCTGTCTAGAGTGACCAGACAGCAAGTGTGAAAAATTGGGACAGGGGGCGGGGGGTAATAGGTGCCTATATAAGATAAAGTCCCAAATATCGGGACTGTCCTTATAACATTGGGACATCTGGTCACCCTAGAGCGGTCCCTCATTTTGGGATCTTTGTCTCCCACTGTGATATTGAGATGTCTGGCTGCAAGACAAATGACTACGTTCAGAACACAGGATAATTATATGTGCAATAAGACGGTCTTACAAGTAGGCTAAGCTGACTAATACAAAGTTAGCTCTTGATGTGGCTTCACAGAATAGACACTGTAAATTACAGCTGACAAAAGTTATGAAGTTTGTGGTAGGAATCTGTCATACTGCTTAAGGACTTACCAGTACATGAAACAGTAACAGTGTTGGAAAAAAGTAACAGCTACACTTGTAAGAGCTCTTTTTCTTTTTGCTGCAACATACTGGAAGACATAAAATAAATTTATTTCCATTGTGCTAAAATTTCCAGGGAATGGTGGCAATTAAAGGCTGCATGTGCTAATTAAAATAAATACATTAACAAGCATCACCGCAATGTTTGCGGTCAAAGTGTTTGAGCATTGTAATAAACTAATAAGTACTGCTTAATTACAGTAGACGCTCAAAACTTTCTTGTGACGGGACGGTAGGAGAAAATATTGTACGTGTTTAAAAAGACTTGATGGGGAAAATAATCTATTAATTTCTTGGAGAGGTCATCTCTTGCATTGAACTGTTTTTTTTTTTTCTCCCTGAGCCAAGGTTTCATTCTACCTCTGGTGTCAAGGGGAGGATGTTCAGCTTTATTAGTCACTGTACTAAAGTGGGATGAGTTATTTGTAGCGAATGATATCTATATTAATGTAAGCCTTAATATGTTAACTAGTCTTCCAGGAATAGGCTGATGTTTATGAATTTGTTTGTTTGAGTACTCTGAAAATTTCAGCCTAAGGTGACCAATCACAGTTTGTGAACCCAAAGTCATGTGGAATTGTTTCTTCCTTTTTTACATTTTTTTTTGTCCAATCAGTGAGAAGAGGGCAAAGATTTCAAGATGAACACACCTACCTGAATATTCACATGAACAGGAGCGGTGCCAGGGTTTTTGCCGCCCTAGGCGGCAGTGCTCCTCCTCTGAGCATTCGGCAGTGGGGGTCCTTCCGCTCCGCGTCTTCGGGGCACTTCGGCGGCGGGTCCCAGGGCGAGTGAAGGACCCACCACTGAAGACCTGGAGCGGAGGGACCCCCCGCTGCCGAATTTCCGCCGAGGGCGGCAAAATGCCGCCCCCCCAAATCCTGCCACCCTAGGCAACCGCCTAGGGTCGCCTAGTGGAAGCACCAGCCGTGCACATGAATATTACATTTGAAGTTGGTTCATGTGAATTTTTGCAATATTAGTCCAGTGCTTCACAGCACAGTGAATGGCAAAATCTGTTTCCAATTGCTGGTCCCCACATAGATCCAATCACATTTTGGGATTGGCTCGATACCACCCGGCTGCTCCCCTTCCTGTATGGCAGTCTTTCAGCACTGTTTTACCTTGTAGGACTGATCATTTCCCCCCTCATTAGCAAATTCCACCTCCCTTGTGGAGTAAGCACAGAAGGAAGAAATAAAGTCACCTGCTGCTATCTACCAACCTCCCCTTACAGCTGTTGCTGCTACCAAAATTCCCCAGGGGAAGAGAGGCCACCACGATCTGCCTTCCCTTTCCCCATACTAGGAAACACTGGAACATCTGGCTCCTTCACTCCAGCAGCAGGAGGGCAGGAAGTTGTGAGGAGTGCACCAGGGCCTCCTACTGTAACAGAAAGGATAGGGGAAGACTGACAGTGGCATCTCTTCTCCACAGGGAAAGCTGACATGCAGACAACCAACTTCTACTACATAGAGGGAAAATTACTGATGGAAGAAGGGGAAGTTAGTCTGAAGAGATGAGCCTTTTCTGTCTCAGTACTGAAAACTAGAGGCGAAGATGAAGGATAATCGTATATGATGAAGGGATGTGATCCCAGGTGGTATCCCTTCAGCCTACAAGGCTTTCATTTTTAATCTGCTGCAGAAGGAATATTAAATCCATCTTACTCTGCAAAAGATCTCCTTTGAAGGGAAGTTGCTGCCACAGGAAGCAGATTTTGCCATTTGCTGAGAGTTCTGTAGCTGAACTCCCTCCATTGACGTTACAAGTATGGAACTTCTCTCTGGCTTCTGAGTGATTAACTTTGCAACAATAATGTTCTCCTAATGGAGTTTTTTTTGTATACAGAAAAAACAATAATTACATTTAGCGTAGGAGCACACTTTAAGGAACATACTCTGGGCACAAATTCTATCCAATACATTTTTATGACAAGAATCTTGGTAATATGCACATTTTGTTTCCAAGTGCATCTTTCAGAGAGCAAGAGAAAGCATTAAGAAATGGGAAAAATGATACTTGATTTCTTTGAAGATGAGATGTATGTAAAGACTTCAGTGAAGCAAAATACCTTATCTCATTATCCTCTTGACAGTTATTACACGGTGTTGTTTCATCACTTTCTGGTCTGGGTGTGCGATGTGTTTTCTAAGAGGAAAGTGCATCAGATATAATTACTGTATAGTGACACTTTAATAAACAAATGATAATTATTCATTTAAGTGTCCTTTTCTATTTTCAGTATCAATATGTTCTTGTACAAGATAAACCAAATCCCGCTTTCAGATGCACACATGCATCCCACTGAAGTCAAGCAGAGTTATGCATGCAAGTGTGATAGCAGAATTTAACAATGTATTTTATATGCAATGAAGTGTTATGTTTTTAACCAAGCACAATACCAGGTTAATATCTCCTAATTGTTAGAGTGTGAGAACCTGTCCTAAAAAACCAACTGGGACTGCTTGTGTGAGCAAGATTACGTGTCTAAAGTTGTGCAGGATTGGAACCTATAGAAGCTTAAGTCTGATCTATTGTTAAATGTTTTGCTGGGACAGCTATGTCATTAGCGGGTGATTTTTATCACACTCCTAAACTGATGTAGCTATGTTGGCAAAAATCCCCAGTGTTGACACAGTGATGCTGGCAAAAGAACATTTTTGCCAGGAAAGTTTACATCATTTGGGAACTGTTATCTATACTGGTAAAATAATTTTGCCCCTCTGCTAGGAGGGTTTGCTGGTATAGCTTTTTGACCAACTTGAATAACCTGGCACCAGTTATAGCCCCTGCTCTACTTTCAGCTGTAGATGCCTTGCTGGTGTTGTCCTCCTTCGGTGCAAATATGACGGGCTCATGCCAAAGCCCCCCAGGGGACATGCATCCTCTGATGTCGGCAGGCATGTCTGCAGTACACCATGATAGTGTATTCAATTGTAGCAGGGATCTCCACTAATCCATCAAAATTGCAATCTGGAATGTTGCAACTCTTCACAGGTGTTGTCATCAGGTCATCTCGATTACTTATTGTACATCTTAAACATCGGCATGGTCACCTCGCTGTCATAGTAGTCTGTGCACCGACAGAGGAATCTGTTGATTCAGTCAAAGATCATTTCTACGATCAGTTGGAATCTCTAGTACGCACCGTCTCTCCACATAATAATCTCATGATCCTGGGAAACCTAAATGCAATTATTGGCTCCCTGCGAATTGGGCTTGAATGGGTCATTGGTCATTAGGGTTCAGGTACACCCAATGATAACTCTTGCCGCTTGCTCACATTCTGTGCCTCTTAGAACCTTTCCATTCTTGGGTCATGGTTCAAGTGGTGGTGCATATACCAGATGTCATGGATCTCTCACTATGGCATCTCTCAGAAGTAGTTGGACCACATCATCCCACATCTGACAGGTGTCTCTTCACCTCCTGTAGAGTATATTGTGGTGCGGAATATGCCATGAACACAGATCACCACCTAGTGGTTGCCCGCATGGCATTGATGCTCCGACGAGCAGGTAAGCCCTCTGCGATAAAGAAATTTGACATCGACGCACTTCTCCGCGAGCCGGTTTAGCCAACAGATTTTGTAGCAATGTCAGCAATAGATTCTCTTCTCTAGCCGACCTTCCAGATGACATCGAGGTTACTCTCTGCTCACCTCCATACTCCACCAATTTGCTGAGCCAACGATTGGCTATAAGTAGGATGACCGTATTTCCCTATGCTGAATATAGGACACCTGGTAAAATTACTCGTGTTCAACGGCAATCAATCAGAACTATGCAGTACAGATGCTCCCTGACTTACGCAAGCGTTCCGTTCCGGAACGCCTTGCGTAACTCAAATTTTGCGTAAGTCTGAAATGTATACCCGACCATTACGCCAAAAAACCCCCAACAATCCATTTCTAACTTACACAAATCCGCACTTACAGAAAAAGTTCCGTAAGTCAGGTTTGTGTAACCCGGGGGGGCATCTGTACAAACATTCAAATTATCAAGTTGACTGTGCCCCTGTTAAAAAGAATCCAGCTACGCAGTATTTCTTTTTATTTACCTTCTTCTCTCTAAGGCTTTAGGGTTCACATAGGAAGAGGTGACATTCACACGCCCGTACATCTCTCTTTCACACAGGGGGAGTGACCGACCGACCTGACCCTCCCTGCCTGGTGCTCACCGCCCTCCACAACTGGCTGGGCCCCCCAGGACGGACCTGCCTCTCCTGGTACCTGGCGCAGCATCTTCCTGGGGCAACACAGGGCTGGGGGCACGCAGGGTCACATGCTCCCCCACCCCAGATTTCTGCCAGGGTTCACACCAAAATGTGGCCAGCAGCAGCCTTTCAGCACTGTGCAGGGGGAGGGATGACCTGGTCCGTGTCTTTGCAGAGCTCTTCTCTTCTTTCCTCCTCTCCTTTCCCTCCTCTGTGTGGCTGGAAGCAGCTTGTCTCTTCCTGCCCACAGAATGTCAAAAGGCAGCTAACACCTCCAGGCTGCTGCTGGCCACCGACATAACCCAGCCGCTTCCTGTCCCCTGGCTACAGTGCAGGCAGGAAGGGGTTAAGCCCCATGGATGCACTGTGCTCCAGGGCCCAGGGAACCTGACTGCAGGGGTTTCAGCGAATCTGGCCAGAGAGGTGGCTCATCAGGGGAGGGTGTCTAGGGGATAGAGCAGCCCCACGCTTCCGGGGGTAAGACCTAGGGCAGAGGTGTGTGGGTGTGTGGGTGTGTGTGGGTGTGGGCTTCCCTATGCCAGTGCTGTGCAGGGCTTTGGCACATGCAGGGCGTGGCTCCTCCTGGTCAGCGCTCCTCCTGGCCAGCGCTCCAGGCCAAAGGGTTTGAACTTTCTCAGGGTGCCTGCCCAGCCAGAGGCAGTGGGGGAAGGAAGGAGCCTGCCAGCCAGGCTGTTGGTGAGCTGAGCGCTCCGACCAAGGGCTGGTTCTCCACACAGCGCCTGGAGTGAGATGCGCTCCGCCAGGGGGGGATATGGAGGAGCAGCGGGGCTGGGGGCTGAAGGGGCACAGCAGTAAGAGGACAGCAAGAGGGGAAGCATGTAAAGCGCCAATGTGTGGGCAGCAGAGACAACATGTAACTGGCCACCGCTTGGCACCTGCCCACACTCACCAGCCACCGCAGCTCACAGCGCACAGCCAGTACTGGCCAGAAACAGGATGAGGGGTGGGGTCCTGGGGGCTGCGCTGATGGACCAGCAGGGGGAGCGTCCGGCCCTGTACATTGCAGCTTTGCCCCGCCACCAGCCTTGCACACTCACCCCCCCCCCCATGTCAGCTGCTGGACACCCCTTCCCCCACTCACCACTGGTGGGTGGGTGGCTAGCGAGCATGGAACCAGCCCGCAGCATGCGGGGGAACAGAAAATATGGAACAATTTGCCCGTTTTTTAAAAAAAGTCAGGACACCTGCAAGAGGGCTTAAATATGGGACTGTCTCTTTAAAAGTGGGATGTCGGGTCACCCTAGCTATAGGTGCCCAGCACACTGACTATGGCTATCAGAGCAGGCCTTCCAGACAATTAAATTGAATGCCACAGCCCACCAGCATGGTGATAAGCGCACTCGTAATCAGCTGAAGCAAAAGTTTAACACCCTGTCACACCGCGATCGTGAGGCATGTTATAACCAAGAGGTGGATGGTGTCTCCCCTGGCTAAGCCAAATTCAACTTAAAGTGGGCATTCTGTGCAATCTGCAACCGCAGTGGTCAAGAGGTAGTCGCTACAAATGGCAGCCTGAAGGACAGCCAAAGCCTGTCGGATGACGACATCCTCTCAAGCTGGGTGGAACGTTTTCACAGCACCCTGAACCACCCTCCAGCTGCCGCTTGTTTAGAGATAGACAATCTGGCAGCCACTGTGGTTTTGGACACAGACACTTGTACTGATGCACCGATGTTGGATGAAGTGAAGCATGCCATCTGTAAACTGAAAAATGGACAGGCAGCCAGCGCTGATGGCATTTCCACCCCCCCCAAAAGAGATGCTAAAATGTGCTATTGACCCTGTAGCAGAATCACTTCTGGCCATCTTTTGTCTGGTGTGGAAAAGTGGAACCTTGCCAACTGCCTGGAAGGACGGTATTGTGATCTCCCTTTTGTAAGGGCAAGGGACCGCACAGTGAATGTAAGAGCTACAGGCTGATCACCTTGTTGTCCATGCCAAGGAAGGTGTTTGCACATGTTCTGCTGGCGCATTTGGAGCCCCTGCTACAGCAGAAGCATTGCCCCCAACAGTCAGGCTTTACAAGGAACAGGTCCACATTAGACACTATTTTGGCCCTTTGTTGTCGGAGCTACACCATGAGTTCAAGAAGCCCCCACACATTGCGCATATTAATCTTAAGGCTGCGTTTGATTCAGCTGACTAAGTCACACTATGGAAGGCCTTACAGGGCATACATGTTCTACCACTCTGCTGGACTTGATTAGACAGCTGCATAATGGAACCACTGCCCATGTACATCTGGTGTCAGACAGGGCTGCGTCTTGACCACTGCACTCTTTTGTCAGGCAATGGATTTTATAATGCAACATTCAGTCAGGTCAGTAGGCAATAAGCTTGGTGATCTCTCGATCTCAGACCTTGACTATGCTGATAACGTTCATCTAGTACAGAGCCCCAACAGGTTTCGCGAGGCACTCCAGCAAATGGAGAAGAGTTAGCTAAGGTTGGCCTCCATGTTTCATGGTCAAAGACAAAGCTGCAAAATCTAGGACCAGCTCCACCTGTGACTCCAATCTCTTTGAATAATGAAATTGTCGAAGCAATCTCCAGCTTCAGCTATTTGGGTTCTATACTCACCAATTCCTCCAACTCTCACACAGAGGTTCTCCATTAGATTGGTATTGCAGCGCCTGCCATGGGTCGTTTACTACAAATATGGAATCAAGATCATCTCAGCATGACCACCAAATTCAGGATCTATTCGAGCTGTATCCCCCTCCGTACTGTTGTACGGCTGCGAAACATGGACAGTATGCTACTCAGACTGGACAAAGCTGGAGGCTTTCCACACAAAATGCCAATGTTGTATATTGGGCATAAAGTGGAATGACTTCATTTGTAATGCAGATATTTATGGTTGCTCTGGTCTACAGACTACTGGAACCATTGTTCACAGACTGTCTTATGCTTTTCAGACATATCTCAAGAATGCCATAAGATGTTCCGACGAACGCTGTTCTCCGAGTGGCTTGTAACATCCGGGATAAAATTCCACCAATGGGGGTGGAGACGGGCCAGAGGCAGACCCCCTATTACATGGATTCATCAAGTCTGTTCCGATGTTGGACTCTTGGGCCATGAAGCCCTTGCAGCCGCACAAGAACTGACCAAAAAGGGCTAACAATTGCTACTGCTGACTATTCAGCTAAGCGTTGAAGAAGAGTAAATCCTTTCTAGTGCAGACAAGGCCTCAATAAGTGGAAAAGCACTGCCACATCAAGACATAAATTGGGAGAACTGGGAAGTTGTGGGATTTCTAGTTCCTACATTTCAGGCCTAGAGTTATTTTGTTAGCATACCAACAGGCATGATTTTTTTTTTTTTTAATTTGGGAGAAAGGGCAGGAGTGAATTAGGAATTAAAAACAGATTCACTGATTATATACATTTGAGAGTTACATAATTCAATGAGGTTCAAATTATATGCCCCTAGTTTTTAAAATCAAGATACTTGTTTGCTTAGGGATAAAATGTAACTGGTCTCTGCCTAACCAGGTAAGTTTGATATTTCTCACCTTCCAGCAGATGGCTCCCAAAGTAAAGCCAATAAGAAGAGAAAACAATGACGGCAGTGCTATGCTTATCACTTTCAGGCTGGGGCTGCTAATGAAGTCGAGTGCCTCTTCTGTAATTAAAAAGCATGGTTAGTGATGACAGATTTTCTGGAAAAAAAATTATTTTCAGGGTACCATTGTTAACAATAGCTAATTTATGCACATAATATGACAGCTCTCAGCATCCCAGGTAACTGAGATAAATACTGCAAGATATACCTTCAAAGTGGGGTTTTTTGGGGGGGAGGGGGGTTGTTTGTGTTTTTGTTGGCGGTGATATTCATGCCAAAAGCTTACAGGAATTTTTGTTGCTATTGCACAAGTCCTATCCTTCATGCACATAAGCAATTTCCACTGATCTCAGCAGGAGTTATGTGTAGGCGGAGGCCAGAATTTGGACCGTTGGTTAATTAGTTAAGGCAGGATATGAAAAATCCTGTGGGAGTAGCCTAGGGTTCCACCTTCTAAACTGCAAATTGAGCTACAGGACACTTGATTTAAACAGCTTTAATCTAGTTTTACTTAGAATCAGGAGCTGCAGCTCAAATGGTGCATTATCAGGGTACATGAAAACCTTACGTTGAGTATTGGAAAAGAAATGCTGTGGTTAGATAACTATAATATGCAGTTTATAAAATATAGGACCTGTGTTTAATCATGATTCTGATCAAGTCTGAACTCTACTAGAATCCTGCAGGTATGTCAACACTAAAGGGAAATTTTAGTCAAGCAGAACAGATACCTGATTATTACATTACGGAAAGAGTAGATATTCTATGGAGAAAGAAAGACAGCTAGATGCAGCAGACATAGTTGTGTGGAATAGAGGGGAACACTGAACACAGAATCAACTGGTTAATCTGCTGTCATTGGCTGTTTTCCCTCCATAGCATTTGCAGTTTCTGCTAGCTGAGTCTTCCAGTAAGTCTCTACTCCCTATGCACATCTTTTATCAAGCCCTCCCACAATTCACAGAGTTAATGTAAGAATCTGGATTTGGGAGGGGTTTGCTGATGTGCATTTCAGAGATTTAGGGCCATGCCTCAACCAATAACTTAACCCCATATCTAGGACTAGACCTAAGGGGTTTTGGAACCAGAACTAGACCTCTTGAATAAACATGAAAATAATTCATATTGCTGAATACACGCTGAATACACACAGATCTTATTTTTAGAATTTTACTCAGGAAGAATGAAGAATTGCTTCTGCCCAGGTAAAGAAATCCTTATTTTGTTCGTTAGCCATATCTCCTTCTTGGACACTTTACAGTTATACATACTCTAGTTGTATAACCATAAACTACCCAAAGCTATGGGTGTTCCCATTTTTAAAAACCTCACTCTGTATACTCCAGGAAAAATGAATAATAATAAAGGAAGGTATGTATGTTGTTGCAGATCTCAGAGAGCAGAAAAGTTATTTGATAACATGTTACCTAAGGTAGCATATATAACCTACCACAAATTCTCCACCTACTCTACGATGCCAGTCTCAGCGTGCAATGGCAAGTGTGTAGACTTTTACATAAAACACTTTTAGCAAAAGTTATTCAAAGTATTCAGCTAGATACAAGGATATCTAGTTAATCGCTACATTTTCACATGTGTTAATGTACATATTTCAACAAGTTTTTGGACCATAAACTAGCTTGATTTAAAATTAGACACTACTGATTGGAAAGTCTCATTTCTGATAAGAAGGCCTCAGCATTCAGTTTTGCCTTCAGCATTTACACAAACTTGAAAGGAATACTCAGTTAGGTTTGTACCTTGGGAGGCAGGGCATATGGGACAGAGTCTTCTAAATACATGTCAGGTCCTGAAAAATTGTAACTTTTGTAAATTTGTTTAAGATAATTTTGAGTTTATAGGTGGTGGTGGATTTGAGAGACCTGGAGAAACCGAATCTAGTCATGGCAGGTTTTATCATGTCCTATTTATTTCTGGTAATGTCTGCAGAGGGGTAGGTACTTCCAAAAACAAAATACAAAACCCTACTACATGATCCCTGCCCCTCCTGGAGAGAAGATATGAGGAATTGGTACAATATATGCAATTATGTTCAGATGTTTATATTCTAAATAGATTATATTTACACTGTTCCCATAGGACTTCTCAAGCTTGTCAGTCGGTCAGTTTTCTGTTGGAATCACAGCACAGATAGGTCTTTAAGAGGGAATCTATGCCAAAGAAGTTAGTGGCCTTACAGATGTACTCAGGAAGAGCGGCATCAAGGAAAGCAGAGGCATTTATGTGGGAAGCTGACAAAGCTCACAGTGGGAGAAGAGGGCAGCACAGAATGAGAGAGGGGAATTGACATCATAGTGAATCTTGTCTAACTTCACTTTGAAAAAATGTTCTGCCTCATTTTACTTCCTTACAATAGAAATTTCAAACCCAAAATATGGTAAGAGTCACCAAGACAACACTTGAGTTTCAGCAGGTTTTGGGCAACCCGCTATTTAAAAATTCCTAACAGGCTCAGACTCCAACAGTCTTTAGATATTTTGTGGCATGGGAACAGGACTGGCGCCAGAGTTTTTGCCTCCCCAAGCGGCGGAAAAAAAAAAAAAAAGCAGTGATCGCAATTGCGATTGGCGGCACTCTGGTGGCAGCTCCACCGTGCCACTTTCTTCTTCGGAGGGAATTCGGCGGCAGGTGCTTCCCTCCGAGAGGGACCCACCGCCGAACAGCCCGACGTGCTGCCCCTTCCCCTTGGCCGCCCCAAGCACCTGCTTGCTGGGCTGGTGCCTGGAGCCAGCCCTGCGTGGGAATGCCTAATGATCTGTTTTTCTCCAGGTCTTTAGTGTTTCTAGTCCAGTTTTCTGGGCCCAAATATTGAAAGGCTTAACTAATATCATTCATGAATCTAAATACCTGATTATGCCCACAAAATGATTCTCAATTTTAACCTGTGGGCAAAAAATGGTATGTCAGATGGATAGCTAAATGCCTATTTTACATTTCTTTCTACCCTTGATCTTCATTTCCTGTTTGAAACTTGGGTTTGGAGATGCTGGTTTGAAAACAGTACTAAAGCAGATAGAATTAATCTGAGTCCAAACTACCTCCAGCTCCAGAGTCTGTCACAAATAGTATATTTTCTGCCCCTTGCACTAGTCACTGGTACTTGGGTATGGTGTGAGGAGTCCTGATCTTGGCTGCATTGCCTGGCATCCATCCCATGGTCACTGTGCTGGTCCAGGCTCCTGTTTTGGGTGCAGGCTGCTCCTCCAGCTATGCCCCTGGCCTGCTTCTGGGCCGACCCCATAGCCCTAGATACAGGATGCATTTGGGCCTACTCCCCCCAGCAGCTGCAGCAAAAAAAAAACAAAACTGTAGCTGTTTAGGCCTCAACTATGTGTGTGCTCTCTCTAGCCCTACCCATGTGCCAGCTGATTGGCTTTGGGCTAACCTCCTGTCCCCACTTGGCCAGGGCTCAGCTCCTGTCCTGGAGACATTCCTCTCTTCCAAAGAGAGGTGGGCTGGCCGCTGGAAATCAGGGGTAGGATTGTCCCAATCCCCTACTTAACTGTAGAGCTAGAGAATGAAGGCTCTACACAATGGGTCTGTCTACAGTTGGGAGCTAGGGGTTTGGGAGCCAGGTTGAGGAGACATGCATACCTGTGCTAGCACAGATTGCACTAGCGGCTAAAAATAGAGCGTAGACATGAGTGGCAGGAGGGGCTAGCCATCTGATTGTGTGCCTAGTGTCTGTGATGGAACTGTACTCAGGGCAGTGAGTTCCTTCCATCACTTGCGCTGCAGAAGCTACACTTCAATTTTTAGTCCATTAGCTCAATGAGAACTAGTGCAGATATGTCTCCTCGAGCTGGGAATTACACCCCTAGCTTGAAGTGCAGACATACCCTAGATCTCCCCCAACCACACCTCCGAAAGAGACAGCAATAAGGCAGGGAGGGCCTAATATCTGAAAGTGGCAATGGTGGGTGAGGGTGAGAATCTTCTGGAAACTAGGGGCTGGTGTGCAGAGCCACAAGCCAAGCAGGGAGCAGAAATGTAGGCAGCCAAGAGTCAGTTTGCCTAAGGGCCTGTAGGGAGTGGGGGAAGTGCCTTTCTCTTAGTAACTTCTCTTGTCTCATGGCCAAGAGTTGCTTTCTTGCTCATCAGCAAGGCAGGCTGCCACAGGCTTCTCTCTCCCTGTGCCTTCCTCAGCAGGAGCAGCACCATTCGTCCCACCAGCTTCCCCACCATACCACATAGTCACCCCAGTTACATGGGACGTATATGGAAAGAGCTGGAAAGAGACATACAGCATGGCACGGCTGTTGATGCAGAAAAGGAGCTGGGGAAATACTGTTACAACCTGGGATGCTGGCAAGAAAGAAGTAGTTCCTGGAATCAAGCCAGAAGTTACTAATGGAGAGTTACTTTTGTTCCCCAGTGTAAACTTTTTCCCATTTTCAGTCTCACTGCATGCAGTTCCTGCAAATACCTGATGACTTCTCCTTCCATTCCAATGCAGCAGCTGGCAGATTCAGTGATGTTCCCAATGCCTTCCACAGATAATTTATTAGGGCAGGAGATGGGAAACATCTTTCTCTCCTATAGGCAGGACACTGAAATCAAGGCTCTGGGTGTTCACGCAGGTACTGCTCTAACTTCTGCCACAAATATTAGAGCAACACCTCAGTCTCCATCAGGCTCTGACAGACCCCTCACTCTCCAGAGGTGGGAAATCAAACACTTGATTTAAATAACATACTAAGGCTTGGTCTACACTCACCCCCCAAATCGAACTAAGGTACGCAACTTCAGCTACGTGAATAACGTAGCTGAAGTTCGAAGTACCTTAGTTCGATCTTACCTCGGTCCACACGCGGCAGGCAGGCTCCCCCGTCGACTCCGCGGTACTCCTCTCGTCTAGCTGGAGTACCGCAGTCGACGGCGAGCACTTCCTGGTTCGACTTATCGCGTCCAGACAAGACGTGATAAGTCGAACCCAGAACTTCGATTGCCAGCCGCCGAACTAGCGGCTGGGTGTAGACATACCCTAAGAGTTTGTTGGTTTTATGTTAATCCCCTCAGCTCAGGGTTTACTAGGTCTAAAATTTATTTTGTTTAAGTTGCTGTAAAAACTAAGAACCAGCCTCTAAGTCTGCGGCAATTTTAACTAAGTTAAACTACAGAACATCTACTTTTAAATATGTGTAACTTCATCCTTAAAAATGCACCCATTAACCTGGGAGTTGTACAAAGATTGGGAAGAGAGGAAAATGAGTCCATCTGAACATGGCCTATTAGAATATGCTGTATCCAAATAATCACTAGTTCAGGATTATCAAAATTGACATCGTAAGGCAACAGAGTTAGTATCATGATGCCAATTCAGGAAAACTTCAGTGGTAGTTTGGAACCGTTTCATTTTCTGTCCATTAGAATTAAATGGTGGGGCAGGCATGTTGGTTGAGGTCATATGATCCATGTGTCCTAAAGACACTAGAAAAATCAGCATACAGAGATTTGCATTCTGTCATTTTTGAAAGTCACCACATAGTTGTAATTGTACGGCATCCCTGGAGTCTGACTGAATCAGGTCATTTCATTTTGATGTAATGACGGATAATACGATGTACCATCAAACATTAGAATGATCCAATTGCTCTGCACAATTAAGACTATTTTCCTCTAAGTGCTCATTAAAACCAATGTTAAATGGAAATATACATATATCAGTTCATATACATATCATTTGTACTTACTGTTACTGTCACTGCTGTCATTCTTAAGGGAACTGGCAGCAACAGGAGGTAACAACAATGGATTTGTTACACTGACTCTTGGATCTAAATAGAAAATGAGTGTCAGTATTATGCAACCTAAAATACAGATCCCCCTACATAAGGCACTTGGTTATAGGGCTACTCTGGTCTGTTAACATATGATATTAGATTATGGCTATAGGGGCTGGATCCACAAAGGTACTTAGGCACCTAAACCCCAGATTTAGGTGTCACTGTGATGCACTAAACCCTTGCCTCGCTGCTGCCTGACCTTGTAGGCACCTAAACTCACTTGGCACCTACGTTTTTGCAGTAAGAGTTCCCTGGGTACCTAAGTTTCTGCTTCTGGGCTTGCACACTGCTGCCTTGATTAAGCACCTGGATGGCTCTCTCCTGCCTGATGCTCAGAGTGAACCACAAACCAGGGAAAGATAGTTGGAGGAGTGCGTCTCTCTGCTGAGGAGCCTGATCTAGTAGGTGTGCTCAGAGGCCAACTACTGGATTGGGTCCCATTCAAAATCTGGCCGGAGGAGGAGGAGGCGGTAGTGACCTTATAATATTTAGTCCAGTGGTTAGAGCACTCACCCGGGATGTGGGGAACCCAGGTTCCATTTCACCTCCTCACATACACGGGGAGAGAGAGATTTTGAACAGCAGTGTCCTACCCAGGGCTGGCTTTATGGGGGATGACTGCCCAGAGCACTGTGGTCAAAAGGAAAGGAGTGGGGCAGCCCTGGAGTGCAAGGCTGCAGAAGGGAGCTTGAGGCAATGGGGGTGGGAGCAAGGCAGCGGGTCCAGGGTGCGGTGATGGGCTGGGTAGTGGGCTGGGGGAGGCAGTAAGGGCCATGGGGTGGGTGGGGAACTTAGGGAGGCAGCAGGGGCCAGGGGGATTGGATGGGTAGAGAACCTGAGGAAGCAGTGGGGACCCTATCCACTTCCATATCTTCCACCTCTCAGGAAAGTACTGTAATAACTGAGAATCACAGAAGACCCCTGTTCAAATCCTCTCTCCCCCTCTACCTGAGGGTGGAATTGAACCTGCATGGCTCTCACATCCCAGATGAATACTCTAATGACTAAAAGTTATAATGTGGGCACCAACACTTCGAGCCACTTTGCATAGAATGAGGCAGGTGCCTAAATCATTCTCACAAGAAACAACTTAGGCGCCAAAGCCACCTACTCCAGGAGAGGAGTTCCCAGTTATGGATCACTAGCAGAGATAAGTGCCTAAGTCCATGAAAGGGGCAGGACTTAGGGCACATCCCGCTTGTCAGCATCTCCCATTGGCTAGTGTATGCAGCTCCTTCCTACTGACTTTTGAGGATCCTATTCTTAGGTGCCTATCTCTCCCCATTCATTGTATAGGGAGCCTAGTAGCAAACTCAGGCTTTGTAGATTGCATTGATGTTCCTGTGACTTTCTAGGCGTCTAAAAAAGTTAGGTGTTGCAACACTTCAGCCTCCGTGTGGATCCAGGCCTAAAGTACTTTCAGTTCTTATTGGTGTAACTGTGCAACTGGACATGTTGCCCTAATTAAAACAACTATAATAATAATAATAATAATAATAATAATAATAATATATGGAAATATATCCTATCTCCTAGAACTGGAAGGGACCCTGAAAGGTCATTGAGTCCAGCCCCCTGCCTTCACTAGCAGGACCAAGTACTGATTTTTGCCCCAGATCCCTAAGTGGACCCCTCAAGGATTGAACTCACAACCCTGGGTTTAGCAGACCAATGTTCAAACCACTGAGCTATCCCTCCCTCTGATTAAGAATCATCGTGGCAACAAAATTTAAGAAATTCAAAACATCTATTCATTTTAAGGACTGCAATGGGAACAAGTATATGAAACCACAGGAATCTAACCTGAGCTTGTTAAAGTCTCTATATCATAAATCCATGATACTATTTAGTGGGAATGGGCCAAATTCACAGATGACTTTCAACTGGTGCTATTTACACTTAGTTCCAGACACTCAGCCTATAAGCTATGCCACCTTAAATACCTTTAGACCTGCTTACCAATGCTTAACTTACAGCACCTTACACATCGCCTCTGAATTGGCCCAGTATCCCCAAAGACATTTTCAAAAAGATCAAACTGTCATGGTTAAGCAAAAGTCAAGTGTAAGATAAAATGCAGTACTAAGAACATTGTAAAAGAACAACCCAGGATATTTTTGTTGATGTGAAAACAGTCTGAGCAAATACACTGAAATAATTGTAGGCTGTATTAATAAACGATGCTATGTAATGATGCCAATTTTGCTATCAGGCTTAATTCTATAGTACTAGCAGTGGGACTTCAGCCTTGGCATTAGTAGTCACTGTCACAGATATTAAGAAATATGAAGCTAATAGATCAGATCCTCAGACGCTCTGAACTGACATAACTTTATTGACTTCAAAGGAGTTACACCAATTTACACCAGCTGAGGATCTGGCGCAACAAAAATGGGAACAATTTTATGATCTTACTGTTCTCTGGTGTTTCTGTTGTTGATGGCAGAACACAGTCACTATGATCTGATTTTTCTGCAAAATCCTTGTAGGCGTCAATGGTTCTATTAAAGCGCCTAAAGAATTCTTCAGGAATGAACCTGCCTTCTTCATAAAGATGAACATTTTCTTTTCTAAAATTCTAGGAAAAATACAGAATTCCATTTGTTAAAAGTCCAGACAAATACTCATTTTGGTAAAGCTGGCCTAAGAGACAGACAATGGGTGCTCTACCAAGGAATGCCAACAGGTGACACAGAAATGAAGTTAACATTTAAGATGCAGAGTTCTGCTTTACTTCAGGAGATCTCAACCTTAAAAATACCAAAAGCTCTAATCCCAGGATTTTGAATTAATTTATTTCACTTTACAAAGTTAGCACTGTTAATCCACTCTTGAAAAATTGTCACAAAAATGTACAGCCTAGGCTTGAAATCTCCTCACCCATCTTATCCTAATAATGAAAAAAAAAATACATGAGATTTTAATTCTTAATTTAAAAAAAAAAAATTTGTTTGTTCCTGGGTATGTGGAATTTTATAAGGTTGTGCTTGACCATTTTAATGTGAAACAGGAACACAATACATTCAGCGTTATCATAAGTGTTTTGGATATTGAAACAAGTAACGGTGGTCCAAGTTCCACTATTGGTGTCAGCCTGCCTCTCTGGAGTGCATCTAAAAAGAAGAGAGGGACTCCATAATTGTGAAGCCTGATGGATAATATGTTGTGCCAAACTAACTGAAGACTCTGAGATCCAGTTTTTGGTCCTAATAAGTGTGGCAGGGACAAGAGCATCTTTAAATCATGCACCAAGAAAAGCTATCTAGTGGGCGGTTCTTCAGTTTATTTTATTTTTCTTGTTACAAGGATAGATCTAGGTTCATTCTTCTACCTCAACGTACAGAGATTACTTTCCTTATTTCCATTTATCTAAAAGTCTTTCTTTTAAGACAAAGATTTTAAGTAAAATCACATTTAATTAAAAAAAAGTATCTTGTACCAGCAGACCATGGGAAATTCATAGATTGAATTTGCTGAGATAGATACTTTTGAGTGTGTGCTAAAGCACAAAATTAGGATTGTAATGGAAAGGTAATTAAAACCCTAACATACAATCACCATCACAGCAACTAAATAATGCACCTGACTGCAGGTCAGGAGATCAGGTTGTACTCTGAGGTTTGCCATAGACTCTGTTTGATAATGGGCAAGTCACTTCACCTCTCTGTGCAACTGTTTCTCTCTGTAAAATGGGAATAATTGCACTTGCCCACATTTGTAAGTTGTTTAAGATCTACTGATCAAAGGTAACTATACACAGAAGGTGAAATCCTTGACTTCAATAGGCCCAGGATCTCACGCTTAGTACTTTTAAGTAAGTAATTATTAACAAAACCATTTACTCATACATAGAGTACTCATAGCTGAGCAATGTTATTCAGAATGCAATTAGATATATCAGGGCTTTTACCTAAATGTTATTAACAAACTTAACTCTTATTACTCTCATTCCTAATAAGGCTAGAATCAGACTCCTGGAGTGAGATTCCTGGAGCACTTCCAGCAACTACTGGAATCAGGAAGGCCCACTATCATGTATAATTTTCCTTGGATAAATATCCATTAATTCAATATGAAGGTTTCTGAAACAGATTGATTAATATAATCTTACTAGTTTATCACAATCTTTTTCAGATATTTTCAGATTCAAATTAGTAATTATGCTCAGGATTCCAGTGTAAGTTAGATGCAAAATGATTCATGCTTATTTGACATAGACCAGTTTGATTTACCTTGAGAATGAGAGTTAAATGTTCGCACTACGCACTGACAACATATTGAATATAGCTGTCTGTTTGGGCATCCTATACATTGTAATCCCTCTGACGTTTTTTAAGTGGTTATACCTAAAGCTAAGATTTTGTCATGGATATTTTTAGTAAAAGTCACTGATAGGTCACGGGCAATAAACAAAAATTCACAGAAGCCTGTGGTCTGTACATAATTTTACTAAAAATATCCATGACAAAATGGGTAGGGAGAAGGGTCTAACACATCCCTGCTGGGGCTCTAAGGTCCCCACACTGCCCATGACAGCGGCAGTGGGGCAGCTGCAGGGGCCCCAGCTTGGAGCCTGGAGAGGCACCCTTGATTAGTGGTGGCCTGGAGCTCCTGTTGGAGCATCCCACTGTGGTGGCGGCTGGGAGCTGTGAGTCTTGGCTGACAGCTCCAGCCCCACTGCCCCACAGCTGTCATATTGGTCTCTGGAAGTCAGATTCCATGACTTCGTGATCTCTCTGACAAAATCCTAGCCTTATCTTATACCTTTTTTCCACTTGATGTAGCCGATAGCTAACATCTCTACATTGTACTCAATATATCTTTAAAGGGGAAGTAGTAGTTGCATTGAATAGGAATTGAAACAAAGAATATAGAACCTAAAGTAGCCTTGGTCATCGGGCTTTTTTGTTGTTGTTGTTACTATATCAAGCTATGTATTCTGCTACAAAAATTCAGATATAATTATGCAGTATAAAGGGAAAAACTCTCTTTGAGAAGATTACCTTATTTTTCTCAGAATCTAGACATGATATAATATCATTGATTATCCTCGTGAGATTATTGATGATTGAATAGTTACTTAAAACATCAGACATATCTGAAAATTTTTGCAGAAGATTATGCAGACTCTTTGAAAACTCAGGCACCATCAAATGCAACCAACAGTGATTAGGCTGTCAGGGAAGATAAAAAAGAAGAGAGGCAGATTAAACACCACACTTAACCAATTTTTGCATAAGTAATGCAGAGTGTAAAAGTAGATTAAATTGTTCCTTCCAATTTGCATCATCTTGCACTTGTCTAAATTGAAATTCAACTAATATTATGTTGCCTGCTGTTCTCTTGAGTCCTTATGGTGCACCTTGCAATCCTCCTTGATCTTGGCTGACTTAATTATGTTATCAGAAAAGGTTGTCAGCATAATGTTACCCCTTCTTCTAGTTTGGGAATAAATGTCAAACCTCAGTTTGAGCATCTGATTTGTGGGCTACTAGAGTATTAACCTCTTTCCATGCCAAAATTGGCCATTTATTCCTACTCTTTCATATCATACCTACTTCTGTTTTTTTAATGACTTTCTTTGACAACTGCTTTCCAGACAATCTTCATTTCACTACTGTTGCTACCCTACACTTATATAGCACCTTAAATCCAGGAGGATCTTTGAGTTAAGGTTCTGTTCTGAAAAATAAGTTTCTAAACTTGGCATTGTGGGATTCTACGATTGTTTTCTTAATTTCTGAGCAACTCTGCATAGTTTACAAGAAACTGCTTCCCCCTCCAGTCTTTTTTTACTAAATGCCTGCCCTGCAAACTCACCCTGGGTATGAAAGTCAACCTGAGGTTTTTCCTTCTCATGTACCCTTACCAATAAAAAGAATTAAGAGGCCAAGTTATGACCTCAATTACAGCTGTGCAGTATTGTACTTCAAATACTTCAAATCATGCCCCAAGTGATACTTGTAAATCATTCTGTTGATGTACAGGAAGTAATAAAATACAGCAGGTGTTGGCTCTGCAGGACTAACATGAGTAAAAAGTAGAGAAACCTAAGTCATTATGCTAAGTAGACATGCCTGAATATATACACAGGCAGTAGATCTGTTCAACGAAAAAGGGACAGATTTATATACTGACAACTTTATATATAGAAATCTCTTCACAACAAACCATGCCTTTGTCACACAATGCGCTATTACACATTGTAGGAAAGATTTTAAAAAAAAGTGAAGAATAATATAGATATCAGTACAGTAAGTAAAACTGGAATTTGTCTAGAACACTAAGCTATTATCCCAGCTCTTTATAAAGTTGCCATGGCATCTTTAGTGACCACCAGTGGTCAAGATTTTGTTTTGCATTTCATATGAAACATATGCCTTCAGTAGCACAGTGCCTGTCTCTAACACCTCTCGCAGTACCTTGCATGATATTTGGAGTTCTTCCATCCAAATACTGACATGCCCTGATTTTCTTCACCTTGTGAGATAGATCACAATACTAAAGTGTTATATTTGGTAATCCTTATATGTTCCAAAATTTCTTGTTGTGTTCAATCAGCATCACTTGGGGCTGAATGCTTTTCTAGCCTAGTTTACCTCCTATTCGTTACCATTTACCTTACCATTAGTTCACCTTTCTGCATTTTTATGGGGGGTGGGGGGGGAAGAGGCATGCATACCTTCTAAGACTAAATAAACTATTGAGCAGTCTTCATGATTAGTGAACAGGTTCACATTTACAGTTTAGCTTTACCTTACAGTCTTCACTAACTTTGTCATTTTTGTGTAAAAGAAACCATAAAGTAGTATTACAGTATTTAGCATTACAGTATACCTCCTGGTATGAGTCCCATATAAGGATGTAACAAGCAGTATGTAATGTTGTTGTTGTGTTGGCCCCAGGGTATTAGACAAGGTGGGCGAGGAAATATCTTTTATTGGATCAGCTTCTGTTGGTGAGAGAAGTTTTGAGCTTACACAGAGCTCTTCCTTCAGGTCTGGGAATGGGAAACATGTAACAAACCGTGACATTTTGGGCATTGTGCAATTGACAACGCCTGGCCTTGCCTCTCAGCTCCTTTTGTAGAGGAGCACTAACAGAAGGGCAGTAGAAAGAGCAAAGAATAGAAGCCTTGTTGACCTTTATTCTGTAGTAGAAACAGGTCTGATACTGTGCCCGTCCACACACACCCAGTGGCCCAGACAGCTCATCACCTGCACTGACTCTGCAACCACTAGAGCAGCACTACAAGCAATATCTTGTAGTGTAGAATACAAAAATTCTGCATTTCCAGCATGATTCTATTTTGTTGCCCTTTCTGCTCAATAAGTGAGATCTCTAGGAGAGTCATGAAGGGCTCTGACTTATAGTGCTGTCAGCAGATTGATGATATTCAGCTCTAAATTTTCTTCTCATCAGAGTCAAGCTGTGCACTTTCCTTGCTTTCTCAGTAGGGAAAGATCAAAGATAGGGATAAGAATAAGCTGGCTGAAGTGTGTTCAGAAACACAGATGTAATAATAGTTGACAGAGAGAAATAGCTAATGGAACTGAGGAATTTACCACTGCTCCATCTGCACTAGTTATTTCAGCCCCTGATAAAGAGATTTACATCTCTGGGTACTTTTTACCTGACTGCTCTTATACTCCCAGGAAGTAGCAGTAGAAGCTTTTTATCTTTTTGCATTTAGCTAAGAGATTGCAGCTTCTTTTCATTGGTTTAGACCATGCCTTTTACCTCCAGGTTAGACTTCTGCTATGCACTCTATTTGGATCTACTCTTAGAGCTATTCAGACACTTCAGCTAGTGCATAATGCAAGAACCCTTCTGCTTAATGGAGTTGGTCAGCTTGAACATGTTACATGCACTGCACTGGCTTCCCATCTGCTTTATATGCAATTTACCTTGCTACTTTTAATCTATAAAGCTTGGGAGCTGCTACAATAGATCCCATTTCCCACTTCATGCACCATTTGAAGTGTCTGATAAAGTAAGGCACTTTCCTCAATCTCTAGATGTGTACTTTTCAGACCTGAAAGCAGGACATTTGCTGGAGAGGCTCCAGCTATGGGTTTCTTTGCTTGCAGGAATCTGTCAGAACCCAAATCAAAGCCCATTTATTCAGCCAACCGTTTGCCAAAAGTCTCTAAACTGAGGCATTGTCTCTTCCTATTTATGTCTTGGTGAGTTAGTATTGCTGCTCATTGTGAATACATATGGATGTTAGTTTTTAGATGTGATGCAGCCAGATGCCATGGCAATGAAAGCACTGTACTTTAATGAAATACATTGTACATCCAAAGTTTGCATGTTTTATAGGCACCAATTCCTAAAGGCAATACTGCTGAAAGGAAACTTGTTGGGCCAAAACAAAACATCATTAATTCTAAACTATATTTAACTAATCAATGTAGGATGCAAACTAGACTAAATCAGATTAATACCTATTATAGGTTGTCATAGTATTACATGATGTTTTGGTGATTACAAAAGTCACATTCTTGTTCACTTTATGAACCAGGGAATCAGGATGGATAAAAAAAAAAAATCAATATTTTTTCAATTAAAAACAAATCAGATTTAAAAAAATTAAATACAGAGTTATTCTATTTAAATAAATCTATTTAAAATTAAATGTGAAATTTACAAATTACTTGAGCTAAATTTTAATAAATAAAATTTTATATTAAATGAAAAATAATATTAAGCAGTACATGTTTTCTGCCAAGTTTTAGAGAAACTAAGAGCACTAAATTGGTGGAAGCCATTGGTTAAGAATCTGGAATTAGAGTTTGCTGAAGTGTTAAACCAGTTTGACAGTAGTAGTCTCTTCTGCAGATGCAGAGAGAATATTTTCTTCAGTCCAGTTCATTAAAAGTAAAAACCATTAGTTGAAAAAGCAAGAAACCTTGTTTTCTTCTTCCAATCTATGAATAAAACTGGGTATGAGAGGATGAGATCTACTAGCTCTAAAATCATGAAGGAACTGGTGACCAGAAACATGTTAGTCTGTATCAGCAAAAAGAACGAGGAGTACTTGTGGCACCTTAGAGACTAAAAAAAATTATTTGAGCATAAGCTTTCGTGGGCTAAAACCCACTTCATTGGATGCATGCAGTGGAAAATACAGTAGGAAAATATATATATATATACACACACACACACACAGAGGACATGAAAAAATGGGTATTGCCATACTAACTATAACGAGAGTAATCAAATAAGGTGGGCTATTATCAGCAGGAGAAAAAAAAACCCCTTTTGTAGTGATAATCAGGATGGCCCATTTCCAACAGTTGACAAGAAGGTGTGAGTAACAGTAGGGGGAAAAATTAGCATGGGGAAATAGGTTTTACTTTGTGTAATGACCCATCGACTCCCAGTCTTTATTCAAGCCTAATTTAATGGTGTCCAGTCTGCAAATTAATTCCAATTCTGCAGTTTCTCGTTGGAGTCTGTTTTTGAAGTTTTTTTGTTGGAGTATTGCAAAATTGAGGTCTGTAATTGAGTGACCAGGGAGGCTGAAGTGTTCTCCGACTGGTTTTTGAATGTTATAATTCTTGAAGTCTGATTTGTGTCCATTTATTCTTTTGCGTAGAGACTGTCCGGTTTGTCATGTGTGGCTACAGCAGCCTGTTACTATTTCCTTGTTTCTGGATTATTGCTGTTTGGGACACATCAAAAATCAATCTACAATATATTTTAGACCATATAGGATTCAGAAAGGACTTCTTTCTGATGCAAAGAAAATATTTTGTTCTGCTGAGTTTAATTAGCCTAAGATATCAGGTATAATTTGCACTCCTTCAGGTTCAGTTGGGATTTTTGGTTCGTGCAAACCTCCAAGCTTCAATAGAACTCACAACCATCTATTTTGCCACAGTGCAACACTGATGCCACATACACATTAAGGTTGGACAGACTATTGTATTTTTGGGGTCTAAAAAACCCCCCAAAAGAAACAAAAAACCCAAAACAAAACCCCCCAAACCCTCATGGATTTTTGATAAATTCATGGAGGATAGGTCCATCAATGGGTATTAGCCAGGATGGGCGGGGATGGTGTCCCTAGCCTCTGTTTGCCAGAGGCTGGGAATGAGTGACAGGGGATAGATCAGTTGATGATTACCTGTTCTGTTCATTCCCTCTGGGGCACCTAGCATTGGCCACTATCGGAGGACAGGCTACTGGGCTAGATGGACCTTTGGTCTCAACCAGTATGGCCGCTCTTACTTTCTACTTATATATTATATAATGTGCACAATTACTTAGAGACTTGAGACTTTAAGGCCAGAAGGGACGATCATGATCATCTACTCTGACCTTGTGCATATTGCAGGCCACAGAACCTCACACACCCACTCCTGTAATAGATCCCTAACCTCTGGCTGAGTTACTGAAGTCCTCAAATCTTGATTTAAAGAATTCAAATAGCAGAGAATCCACCATTTACTCTCGTTCAAACCAGCAAGTGACCCATGCCCCACACTGCAGAGGAGGGCAAACCCCCTCCTCCTCAGGGTCTCTCCCAATCTGACCTGGGTGGAAATTCTCTCCTGACCACAAATATGGGGACCAGTTAGACACTGGGCATGTGGGCAAAACCCACCAGCCAGATACTTGGTAAATAATTCTCTGTAGTAACTCAGAGCCCTTCCCCTTCTTCTGTCCCATCACCGGCTGCTGGGGATACCTGCTACTAGCAGTCACAGATGGGCTACATTGTAAGCAGTTTCATATCATCCCCTGGACAAATTTAACAAGCTCAATCTTGAAGACAGTTAGGTTTTTTGTCTCCACTGCTGCCCTTGGGAGGCTGTTCCAGAACTTCACTCCTCTGATTATTAGAAATCTTCAATCAATTTCAAGCCTAAACTTATTGATGGCCACTTTATAGACATTTGTTCTTGTGCCAACTTGTTCCTTAACTTGAACACCAGGGAGGAAGAGGAATTATTTATCTTACAATTATATCTTCCCTCAGCCTTCATTTTGTTAGTCTAAACAAGCCGAGTACCTTAAGACTCCTCTTGTAAAGTAGGTTTTCCATTCCTTAGATCATCCTACTAGCTCTTCTCTGCACCTGTTCCAGTTTGAATTAATCTTTCTTAATTGCACACAGTATTTCAAATGAGTCTCACCAGTGCCTTGTATAATGGTACTAACACTTCCCTGTCTCTACTGAAAATACCTCACCTGATGCATCCAAGGATCGCATTAGCCTTCTTCACACCCAAATCAAATTGATGGCTCATAGATTTGGGTGTATTGGTCGATCACAGAACGACTTTCTCCTCCTCCGTCACTTCCAACTGATACATCCACAGTTTATAGCAAAAAATCTTGTTAGTTTCAAAGTGCATCACCTTGCACTTTGCACTGTTACATTTCTATTTCTATTGCTCCTGTTTTCAAGGTCATCTAAATTGTCTTGTATGATATTCCAGTCCTGGTCCACATTGGCAATACCTCCCAACTTTGTGTCATCCACAAATTTTACTAGCACACTCCCACTTCTCATGCCAATGTCATTAACAAAAACATTGAATCAGGGTACATCTATACTTACCTCCGGGTCCGGCAGTAAGCAATCGATCTTCTGGGATCGATTTATCGCGTCTTGTCTAGACGCGATAAATCGATCCCGGAAGTGCTCGCTGTCGACGCTGGTACTCCTGCTCCGCGAGAGGAGTACGCAGAGTCGACAGGGGAGCCTGCCTGCCGCGTGTGGACCCGCGGTAAGCTCGAACTAAGATATTCACATAGCTGAAGTTGAACTAACTAGCTGAAGTTGCGTATCTTAGTTCGAAGTGGGGGGTTAGTGTGGACCAGCCCTAAGATTTGACCCAAGACTGATCCTTGAGGAATTCCACTAGTAACCTCCCTCCAGCCTGACAGTTCACCTTTCTGCATGACCTGTTGTAGCCTCCCCTTTAACCAGTTCCTTACCCTCCTTTTGATTCTCATATTAATCCCCATTTTCTCCAATTTAATTAATTTCCCACATGGACCTGTATCAACTACTTTACTGAAATCCAAGAAGTTTAGACCTACTGCATTTTTCTTTGGGTAGAAAATTGGTTTTCTTCTCAAAGGAAGAGATCAGGTTGGGCGGACAATCTACCTTTTGTAAAAATATGTTGCATTTCCCTCGAATTACCATTTACTTATATATAACTAACAACTCTCTCTTTCACAATTTGTTCTAAGACCTTGCATATAATTCAGGTCAAACTAACAGGTCTATAGTTTCCTGGATCACTTTTGTTCCCTTTCCTAAATAGAGGTACCATATTTGCAATTCTCCACTCAGAGTACAACCCCTGAGTTTACAGATCATTAAAACTCCTTGCTATTGGGCTAAAATTCATTTGCGTGTTCCTTTAATAGTCTTTGATGGAGATTATCCAGGCCCCGCAATTTGGTTCAATTAATCTGTTTGAGTTTGACTTCTACCTCGGATGTGGTAATTTCTACGTCCATATCCTTGTTCCCATTAGTCACCCTGCCATGGCCTCCAAGCTCCTCATTACCCTTATTAAAAACTGAGACGAAATATTCATTTAGGTGTTGGTCCATACCTAAATTATCTTTAATCTCAACCCCATCCTCAGTGCTAAGTGGTCCCCTTTCTTTCCTTGCTTTCTTTTTATTTATATGGCTAAAGAGCCTTTCAAGATTGGTTTAATTTCCTTTGCAAGGTACAGCTCTCCTGGTCTTTTGGTAGTTCTCACTTTCCCCCTATGCTTTCTGATCTCCAACAGGTGGCTTCCCATGCTGATCCATCTCTTCTTCCACTCCTTGCAGGTCTTCTGCTTTTTCTTAATAAGCAGTCCGCAATGTTTGTTTATCCAGTTTGGTTTGCAACCCTTACCTACATTTCCCCCCCTTGCTTGGGATTCAAGCTTCAAATAGCTTCTGTAACTGTCACTTAAAGTAATTCCAAGCCTTCTCCACATTCAGATCCTTGAGTTCTTCAGTCCAGTCCACTTCCCTAAATCTGTAATTTTTTAAAAAGTTTGCCCTTTTGAAATCAAGGATCCTAGTTGCAGAGGTATTTTTGTTAATTCATTTTAAACTAAATGGAAGAATAAAATCGATCACTCAGATCAAAATTGTTCTAAACAACCAGTTCTTCTACGAGGTCCTCGCTTCTTACCAATACTAAATTTAAAATGGCATCACGTCTTGTTGGTTTAATGACTGTTTGGTGAAGAAATCTGTCAGCTATCACATCCAGGCATATCTGACCCTACCTTTTATTAGTAGCCCTTGTTCTCTGATATATATCTGGGAAATGAAAGCCCCATAATCACACAATTCCCAGTAGTATTTATCTCATTAAAAACATTAAAGAGGTCTTTATCCTTATCCAAAGGAGATTCTGGGGGTCTGTAGCATACCCCAAGCACTATTCCATTGGAGCCTCAGTTACCTTTGTTCCCCAAAGTGTCCCAACAGATTCTGTTTTATCCATCACTTCTAATTTCTTAATAATCTACCTCGTCATTAATATACTATGCTACTCCTCCCCCTGTGCCTTTATTTGTCTTTCCTGGACAGCACATACCCTTCAATATCTGTATTCCAGTCATGACTATTATTCCACCATATATATTTCTGTTATCTCTATAAGATCTGGTTTCACTTCCTGAAACCGTAGTTCTGTTTCCTCTTTTTTGTTACCCAAACTCCTTGCATGGTTGCACAGACATCTTAGTTGTTTCTGTGTGGCTTCATCCAGATTTCTTGCCTAATTAGATACAATCATTTTACTGCCAGTATCGCCTACGTGACTGTTACTGTCAGTGGTACTGATGCTATCATTTCTCTTGTTGTCCATTCTCCTATCCTCTCTTGTTCCTTTCTCCATTGCTATATCCTCTTTTAATGCAAGTAATGGCTTAGATCATATGGTCATTGGGCTATCATTAGCCAGGCATTAGTTTGGTATATTGCTCAAAGTAATTCATACTTTTGGCACTTCTTTCACTCTAAAGATATCTATACCAGGGCTTTCTCAAATTATATATATATATATATTTTTAATTTTGAGCTTATGTCAGTGTAGCAATCTTTCAAATGTAATCCTTCATAAAATGAACAGTAGGCCATTTGAGGGAAACTTTAAAACCAGAACTAATATCAGATCACCCTAAGGCAATATTTCCAGGTGTGTATTCTTTAGATCATCACACGATTTGTAAACTTTTTAAAAAGCATATTTTAAGAGTGGTTATAAACTACAGTATTATGCAGGAAAAAGAGTGATGCAAAGCATTATGTGAGTGAAATACAATATTGTCCTAATCCCTCAGCAGCTTCATTAAGGAAACAGTTACTGAAACAATCAGTCTCGGTATTTTTCTATTTCTTTTACCAGCCTCTTATGTACATATTGTGGAAATGCTAATAAAGCACATGCTCTTGCCACAAAACATTGTAGAGTATGTTCTCCAACATAAATAAAAACAAGTTATTTATCTAAACAACAAACAATATGTTCCTCATTCCCACTCAATAAAGTGGATAATGATTGAAATCTGACTATTTCCCAAAGAAAAGATCTAAAAAAATGAAAGGTTTTGCAAGATTTCTGTAACTAGCAAGATTTTAATGTGACTGAAGCACTGATGTCCAAGACATATAGAGCTGCAGCCATCATTGCCTGGCTATTTTATTGGGATTGATTTCAAGTGATTGTACATACCAGAGTGTCCATCTTCTGAACATACCTAAGGGTTATCATATAATCATTTGGAAGATTTCCAACCTAGAACAAACAGGTAATAAAGAATATATTAGTGTTTGGTAAGAAAATGAAGGCTTTGTTTTAGTCATTGTAGTTAATATACATTTTATAAAGTATATAACACAATTTCTAGAAATTACTTATCAGTTGCAAATAACTTAAGTCAGTTTTTAGGGATTGTGTACATAAGAACATAAGGATGGCCATACTGGGTCAGACCAAAGGTCAATCTAGCCCAGTATCCTGTCTTCCAACAGTGGCTAATGCCAGGTGCTTCAGAGGAAATCAACAGAACAGGTAATCATCATATGATCCATTCCCTGTTGCCCATTCCCAGCTTCATGCAAACAGAGGCTAGGGAAACCATCTCTACCCAACCCGGTTAAAAACCATTGATGGACCTATCCTCTTTATCTAGTTCTTTTTTGAACCCTGTTAGTGTCTTGGCCTTCAAAACATCCTCTGGAAAAGAGTTCCACAGGCTGACTCTGCATTGGGTAAAAAAAACTTCCTTTTGTTTGTTTTAAACCTGCTGCCTATTAATTTCATTTGGTGACCCCTTGTTTGCTTTTCCATTATCTCCCTACTCTTCACAGATCCATGTTGACCTTATTCACAGAGGTCATCTCAAGGCACAATCTAAGATGGTAATACTGTGAAAGAGCAGACAGTTTAAGACTCAGGCTTCAAGCACAGAAGGGACCATTATGATCATCTAGTCTGACCTCCTGCATATTGCAGGCCACAGAACCTCACTCACTCCTGAAATAGACCCCTAACCTCTCACTGAGTTACTGTAGTCCTCAAATCATGTTTTAAAGACTTCAAGTTATAGAGAATTCACCATTTACACTAGTTTAAACCTGCAAGTGACCCCTGCCCCATGCTGCAGGGGAAGGTGAAAACCCCCCAGGATCTCTGCCAATCTGACCCGGGGAAAATTCCTTACTGACCCCAAATATGGTGATCAGTTAGACCCTGAGCATGTAGGCCAGATCTCCAGGCAGATAACTGGGAAAGAATTATCTGTAGTAAACTCAGTGCCCTCCCCATCTGGTGTCCTGTCTCCAGCAGTTGGGGATTTTTGCTACTGGCAGTTTCCAATGGGCCACATGCCATTATAGGCAATCTCATCATTCTATCCCCTCCATAAACTTATCAACCTCAGTCTTGCAGCAAGTTAGGTTTTTTGCTCCCATTGCTTCCCTTGAAAGGCTGTTGCAGAACTTCACTCCTCTGAGGATTAGAAACCTTCACCTAATTTCAAGCCTAAACTTGTTGATGTCCAGTTTATATCCATTTGTTCTTGTGTCGACATTGGTGCTTACCTTAAATAATGCCTCTCCCTCTCTTGTATTTATCCCTCTGATGTATTTATAGAAAGTAATCCTATCTAACCTCAGCCTTCTTTTGGTTAGGCTAAACAAGCCAAGCTCTTTGAGTCTCCTCTCATAAAGTAGGTTTTCCATTCCTCGGATCATCCTAGTAGCCCTTCTCTGCACCTGTTCCAGTTTGAATTAATCCTTCTTAAACATCGGAGACCAGAATTGCACACAGTATTCCTGATAAGGTCTCACCAGTGCCTTGTATAATGGTACTAACACTTGCCTGTCTCTACTGGAAATACCTCACTTGATGCATCCTAGGCTGCATTAGCCTTTTTCATGGCCGCATTACATTAACAGCTCATTGTCATTGTGTGATCAACCAATACATGCAAGTCTTTCTCCTCCTCTGTTGCCTCCAACTGATAAGTCCCCATCTTATAGCAAAAATTCTTGTTGTTAGTCCCCGAATGCACTTTGCACTATTAAATTTTATCCCATTTCTATTACTCCAGTTTACAAGGTCATCCAGATCTTCTTGTATGATATTCCGGCCCTCCTCTGTATTGGCTATACATCCCAACTTTGTGTCATCCGCAAACTTTATTAGCACCCTCTCACTTTTTGTGCCAAGGTTATTTAATAAAAATGTTAAAGAAGATTTGTCCGAAGACCGATCCCTGAGGTACTCCACTAGTAACCTCCCTCCAGCCTGACAGTTCATCTTTCAGAATGACCAGTCGTAGTCACCCCTTTAACCAATTCCGTATCCACCTGTCAATTCTCATATCAATCCCCATCTTCTTCAGTTTAACTAATCCCATTTCCCATGTGGAACTGTATCAAAGGATTTACTGAAATCCAAGAAGATTAGATCTACTGCATTTCCTTTCTCTAAAAAAATCAGTCATCTTCTCAAAGAAAAAGATCATGTTGGTCTGGCATGATATACTTTTTGTAAAACTATGTTCCATTTTATCCCATTTATTGTCCACATCTATATCCTTAACTACTTTCTCTTTCAAAATTTGTTTCAAGACCTTGCATACACTTGAGGTCAAACAGGTCTGTAGTTTCCTGGACCACTTTTTTCCCTTTCCTAAATATAGATATTATATTTGCAATTCTCCAGTGATAGGGTACGACCCTCAAGTTTACGGATTGATTACAAATCCTTGGAAGTTTGCAATTTCATGTGCCAGTTCCTTTAATATTCTTGGATTAAAACTATCCGGGCTCCCCAGTTGAGTCCCATTAAGCTGTTTGAGTTTGATTTTCACCTCGGATGTGGTAATTTATACCTCCATATCTTCGTTGTCATTTGTTGCCCTGCCACTACTCCTAAGCTCTTTATTAGCCTTATTAAAACTGAGGGAAAGTATGTGTTGGGCCATGCTTAGATTATCTTTAATCTCCATCTCATCCTCAGTGCTTAGGGGCCCCATTTCTTCTTTTCTTGTTTTCTATTTATATGGCTATAGATTGCAAAGGGAATTAAGACCAATAGTAAACAAAGTCCAACTCTGCTTGGCTTTTGGCAGTTCTCTCTTTATACCTACACTTTCTGACCACCAAGAGGTAGCTTTCCTTGCTGATCCCTCCTATCTTCCATTCCTTGTAGGCTTTGTGCTTTTTCTTAATCACCTATTTGAGATGCTTGCTCATCCAGGGTGGTCTGCAACCTTTGCTTATGATTTCCCCCCCTTGCTTGGGATGCAGGATTCAGAGAGCTTCTGCAACTTTCACTTAAAGTAATTCGAAGCCTCCTCCACATTCATATCCTTGAGTTCTTTGGTCCAGTCCACTTCCTTAACTAATTCCCTTCATTTTTTAAAGTTAGCTCTTTTGAAATCAGGGACCCTTGTTGCAGATCTGTTTTTGTTTATCCTTCCACTTAGTTTAAATTGAATTAACTCATGATCACTCGAACCAAGATTGTCCTTTAGAACCAGTTCTTCTATGAGGTCCTCACTACTCACCAATACCAAATCTAAAATGGTATCACCTCTTGTTCGTTCAGCAACTATTTGTTGAAGAAATCGGTCAACTATCACATCTAGGAATATCTGGCCCTACTATTACAGGCCGGTAAGTCTGACTTCAGTATCAGATAAACTGGTGGAAACTACAGTAAAGAGCAAAATTGTCAGACACATAGATGAACATAAGTTGATAGGGAAGAGTCAACGTGGTTTTTGTAAAGAGAAATCATGCCTCACCAATCCACTAGAATTCGTTGAGGGGGTCAACAAGCATGTGCACAAGGGGGATCCTGTGGATATAGCGCACTTAGATTTTCAGAAAGACTGACAAGCTTCCCCACCAAAGGCTCTTAAGCAAAGTAAGCTGTCATGGGATAAGAGGGATGAGTAACTGGTTAAAAGATAGGAAACAAAGGGTAGGAATAAATGCTCAGTTTTCAGAATGGAGAGAGGTAAATAGTGGTGTTCCCCCAGGGATCTGTATTGGGACCAGTCCTATTCAACATATTTATAAATAATCTGGAAAAAGGGGTAAACAATGAGGTGGCAAAATTTGCAGATGATACAAAACTAGTCAAGATAGTGAAGTCCCAGGCAGACTGCGAAGAACTACAAAAGGATCTCACAAAACTGGTTGACTGGGCAACAAAATGGCAGATGGAATTCAATGTTGATAAATGCAAAGTAATGCACATTGGAAAACAATCTCAACTAGACATATAAAATGATGGGGTCTAAATTAGCTGTTACCACTCAAGAAAGATCTTGGAGTCCTTGTGGATAGTTCTCTGAAAACATCCACTCAATGTCCAGTGGCAGTCAAAAAAGCTAACAATGTTGAGAATAATTAAGAAAGGGATGATAATAAGAGACTATTAAGGGGGAATATGATAGAGGTTTATAAAATCATGACTGGTGTAGAGAAAGGAAATAGGAAGTGTTATTTATTGCTTCTCATAACACAAGAACTAGGGGTCACCAAATGTCATTAATAGGCAGCAGGTTTAAAACAAACAAAAGGAAGCATTTCTTCACACAACACACAGTCAATCTGTGGAACTCCTTGCCAGAGGATGTTGTGATGGCCAAGACCATAACATGGTTCAAAAAAGAACTAGATAAGTTCATGGAGGATAGGTCCATCAATGGCTATCAATCGGGATGGGCAGGAGTGGTGTCCCTAGCCTCTGTTTTCCAGAAGCTGGGAATGGGTGACAGGAAATGGATCACTTTATGATTGCCTGTTCTGTTCATACCCTCTTGGGCACCTGGCATTGGCCACTGTTGGAAGACAGGATACTGGGTTAGATGGACCTTTGGTTTGACCCAGTATGGCCATTCTTATGTTCTTATGTTGTTCCTGAAATGAAGGCCCCATAATCACACAATTTCCAATAGTATTTATTTGATTAAAAGAGGTTTCTGTCCATATCCAAATTGGATCCTGGTGGTCTATAATGCACCCCAAGAACTATGTCAGAGGAACCTCTAATAGCTTTCTTTCCCAAAGTGATTTAGGCCCAAACAGACTCTGCCTAATCCATTCCATTACTTCTAATTTCTTTGCGGTCTACCTCATCATCAATATACAATGCTACTCCACCACCTTTGCCTTTATTTCTGTCTTTCTTGAACAACACATATCCTTCAGGTTTCAGAGGGGTAGCCGTGTTAGTCATTATCAGCAAAAAGAACGAGGAGTCCTTGTGGCACC